GCAACAGAGCAAGACTCCATCTCAAGGAAATAAATAAATAAATAAATGGGACAAGAGGAAGTCACCTGCAGAGCACATATTAGGTTCAGGTGTGATTATCTGTTTTTTCAATGATTTAAATAAATTAGAACCATTATTTTTCTCTAGCTCTTTTCATGAGGTTTTTTAAACATTAGTTTTCAGCAGTTCAGCCATTGTGCACTTAGGTGTGATTTTAAAATACATATATATCCGGCATGGGATTTGCTGATATCCTCATATTTATAAATTCATGTCTTTCACTGAATTTAGAACACTTTCAGCCTTTCCTCCAGCCCAAGATATTGATCCTGCTCCATTATCTGTCTTTCCTCCTTTTGGGACTAAAATTACATGTCTGTTAGGCTTTTTGATATTGTCTAACAGGTCTCTGAGGCTCTCTTCAGTTTTTCAAAATTTTATTCTGTTGTTCAGATTAAATAATTTCTACTGGTCTCTCCTCAGATTGTACTGACTCTTCTTTCCTGCTCAGCCTGCTGTGAAATGCATCCAATGGATTGTTTCAGGTTTTTAAAAAAAATTTTTAGAATTTCTATTTGGGTCTTCTGTTTTCTTTCTTTGCTAACCTTTCTTATCTTTTTGTTTACTAAGAATATATTTTCCTTTGAGTCTTTGAGCATAGTTACAATAGCTGCTTTAAAAACCCTTGTTTGCTAATTCCAGAAACTGGGTCACCTCGGGGTCATGGGGACTGTCCCCATAACTGTCTTTTTCCTTAAGAATGGATCACATTTCCTGTTTTTGTTTCCTCTTTGGTTGATTGTTATATTCAGCTATTTTAAAATTGTATCACAGACATTGTGAGTGATACCTTGTAGGGGCTGATTCTGTTTTGTTCCTCCAAAGAGTAGTGCTTTTTTATTTCACTAGGTAGTTAACTCAGTGAACTCAGACTTCAAACTCTGACTCCCTGGTATTGGGCAGCAATGGAAATTGCTGTTTAGTTCTTTTGGCTTTAATTGGGCTACTGCATACAAGCTTGGCTCAGGAGTCACTTAGTGACTTAGGGAACATTTGTACACAGAACTTGAACTCCCCTTTTCAGAAATACTTCTTTTCCAGGATTTCTTCTCTCACTTTCACCTGCTGTGTTGCCTTGATCTCTGTCCTGATGTTTCAGCACAGCAAGACCGTCCGAGTGTTAGCCACCCACATGTTGCAGAACTGGGCCTACCTTCAGATTAAATTGAACAAAAGCAGGAACTTGTTGGAGTGCTGAGCTTCTTTTCCAAGTCTTGATCACACTTCAGGATGTCCTACTTTTGGTCATCTGGTGCCTTGAAGATTTTTAATTTTTTAAAAATAGTTTGTTCAGTGTTTATAGTTGCTCTGTACCAGGGAACTGGTTCAATAGGAGCTACTCAACCATTGCCAGAACCTTCTTGAACTTTCTAACTTTCTAGAAACACTGTCTTTTTTTTTTTTAAGACAGAGTCTCATTCTGTTCTCTGTCACCCAGGCTGGAGTGCAGTGCTGCAATCTCAAACTCGGTTCACTGCAACCTCCACCTCCTGGGTTCAAGTGATTCTCATGCCTCAGCCTCCCAGGTAGCACCTGCCACCACACCTCGCTAATTTTTTGTATTTTTAGTAGAGATGGGGTTGCGCCATGTTGGCCATGCTGGTCTCGAACTCCTGACCTCAGGCAATCCACCCACCTGGGCCTCCCAAAGTGCTGGGATTTATAGACATAAGCCACTGCACTTGGCCTAGAAACACTGTCTTATTTAAATAAGAAAGAGTGTGTCTCAGAATGGAAAGAACACAGCTTTGGTGTCAAACCCAACTTGGATGCAGAATCTGACTCTATCTCTTTTTTTTTTTTTTGAGACTGATCCTCATTCTGTTGCCGAGGCTGGAGTGCAATGGCACAATCTTGGCTCACTGCAACCTTTGCCTCCCGGATTCAAGTGATTCTCCTGTCTCAGCCTCCCAAGTAGCTGGGATTACAGGTGCGCACCACATCTGGCTAATTTTTGTATTTTTAGTAGAGACGGGGTTTTGCCATGTTGGCCAGGTTGATGTTGAACTCCTGACCTCAGGTGATCCACCCACCTCAGCCTCCCAAAGTGCAAAGATTACAGATGTGAGCCACTGCACCTGGCCTGACTCTGTCTCTTAAAGTCTGAGCCTTAGGAGTCTCATATGTAGAGTGAGAAAACTAAGTCTACCTCCCACCAGCTGTTGCAATTTAAGTAAATAAAATAATGTATGTTAAACACCTAGCACAGTGTCAACCACATAAAATGTCCTCATTGATCTGAGGCCATTCTGACTCTGAGGACAGCAGTGATCTTGGCATGAACCCTGTGTGGCAAGCACTGTTTTCCTTTCTACAAACGAGGACACTGGGGAGTCCCAGATGTTATAAGGGGCAATGGGGTGGATATTTTATTTATTTATTTATTTATTTATATTTTGAGACAGTCTTGCTCTGCAGCCAGGCGCCAGGCTGGAGTGCAGTGGCGCGATCTCAGCTCACTGTAAGCTCCGTCTCCTTGGATCAAGCATTTCTGCTTCAGCCTTCCTAGTAGCTGGGACTACAGGCATAGGCCACCACACCCAGCTTATTTTTTAGTAGAGATGGGGTTTTACCATGTTGGCCAGGATGATCTTCATCTCTTGACTTCGTGATCCACCCGCTCGGCCTCCCAAAGTGCTGGGATTAGAGACGTAAGCCAATGCGCCCAGCCGGATATGTTTTTAAGAAGAAAACATACCTTACTCTTTCATTCATGATTTCTTCTTTGGCCACTGCAAATGTATGTGGCTGTGTGCATTGCTGGCAGGGTGAGGTAGCTGGCTTGATTTCCATTTTGAGAAAGAGCGGTACCTCCTCACTAAAGAATGCTTAAAACAGGAGATGGCTGCTCTCTGTCACTCCTTCATGGCAATACCACCCCCTGAATGTCCACATCCCACTCCCTAGAACCTGTGGATATATTGCCTTGCATGTCAAAAGGGACTTTGCAGATGCTGTGAAGGCCAAGGACCCTGAGATGACAGATGATTTTGGATCATCTGGGAGAGCCCAGTATAATCACATGGGTCCTTAGGAGTGGAAGAGGGAGGCAGAGAGTTATTCAGAGACAGAGATATGGCCACAGAGGCAGAGTGAAAGAGATGCGTTGGAGCTGTAATTGAAGATGGAAGAAGAAGCCATAGGCAGGGCATATGAGGCAGGCTTTAGAAGCTAGGAAAAGCAAGGACACCCATTCCCTCTCAGCTACAGAAAGGAGCACAGACTTCCCAACAGCCTGACTGTAGCCCCGTGAGACCCCTGTCAGACTTCTGACTTCTAGAACTGGAGGATCGTAAATGCGTGCTGTTTTAATTTTTATTTCTTTTTCTGTTTTAAACCACTAAGTTTGTAAACATTTCTTGGGCGGTAATAGTTGCTTTTGATGGAGCTGGAGTAGTGGTCAATCTCATGGGCTTTGGAGCCAGTCTGCCAGTCTGCCAGTCTGCCTTGTTAAAAACCTTTTCCTTTTCCTTTTTTTTTTTTTTTTTTGGAGATAGAGACATATTCTGTGGCCCAGGCTGGAATCCAGTGGTGTGATCTCAGCTCACTGCAACCTCTGTCTCCTTGGTTCAAGCGATTCCCATTCCTCAGCCTCCCAAATAGCTGGAATTACAGGTATGCGCCACCACACCCAGCTAATTTTTGTATTTTTAGTAGAGACAGGGTTTTGCCATGTTGGCCAGTCTGATCTTGAACTCCTGGCCTCAAGGTGATCCACCAGCCTCGGCATCACAAAGTGCTAGGATTATAGGCGTGAGCTACCGAGCTCTGTCTCAAGCCCGTTTTCTGTTTTTTTTTTTTTCTTTTTTAGCTGTGTGACCTTGTGGAAGTTGCTTCACTTCTCTGGGCCCCACATTTCTCATCTCTAAAGTTGGTTAACAACAATCTACAACTCATCGTTTTTTTGTGAGGATGAGATGAGGGTTTCATACATGCAGAAAGCCTGGAACTAAGTTTTAGCTGCGGCCATTCTGGGCAGGAATTCCTCACAAGGTAACTCATAACGTCTGATCAGGGCAGAGACTTGGGAGACAGACTGTCTAACCTCAGACTTAGGCTCTTCTCTTACTAGCCTGAAGCAGAGTGGTTTTCTGTTCCTCCATTTCTTCATCTGGAAAATAGGGGCAGGTGTCCCAGGGTGTTTGAGAGATCGAATCAGATGGAGAGGCCGAGGTATTAGCAAGTACAGCATAGATGTTCCTCGAAGGGCGGTTATTGTTATCACTGGGGGATATTGAGCCTCCAGCCCTAGGCACGTGGACCGATTTGTTCTTCAGTTATCTCTGGAGTAATTTCGATACACTGGACTGGGAAGACAAAGCTACAGCCCCACTTATGGAACAGTGCTGAGTGCCTGGCAGGTGCTCAGTAATCACTGAATGAATGAGTAAGGAAAGAACAGGCCCCAGCCCTGCCCTGGAAGAGGCTCGCAGTACCGGACAAGGCCTGGAGCCAGGCCAGGGTTCTGTGGTTGTCTTTAAAAAGAAACAAAACAAAGAACTACTTCCTACCAGCTGACCCTAAACCCCCAGCTCCCGGCAGGGACATCTCAGCTCTGCAGGGGAGCCCCGGCTGTGTGCCAGGCCTGGCCATGCTGTCAGCTTTCTAAACCACTCACAAGTGTTCTCCCCTAGTCTTTATAATGGATGCCCTACAGCCTCCTCTCCCCTCCCAGGGTGGTCCTGAGGCTCTGAGCAGCTGGCAATTCTCTGTCTGAGAGGTCCTTGGTGCTGCAGGGGAGGTAGCTCTCACCTGAAGACCTCCCTAGAGGCCAGTCTCACCTTTGTGTGTTAGCAGGTTTGGAGAATTATTTTTAGTGAGTTACTCTTTGGCTATGTTAGGACCAAATACAAGGAGGAAAGAATGACCGAATACTGCTCGGGGTCGGTGACCGTAACAAGACTGTTTTTTTTTTTTTTTTTTCTGTTTTCCTGTTGCAGGCCTGATCTTTTGGCCAGAAGGAGATGGAAAAGATGCCCCTCAAGATGGCTGTGCCTGTCAGCTGCACGGAGCTTCGGTCAAGTATTATTTTCTGAGCCTGATGGATTTACAGTAAATATTCAGTCATCTAGGGAATAACCCTGGTGGAACCTTGCACTGGAATGACATATGCCCAGCACATTTCAGGATACTTAAAGTGGTTTTAACGGTTGCTCTGGCTGAATGCCTCATGGATTCTTACAGCTTGGATGCCCATGGGGGACGAGGGGTTGCAGCTGGCTGCAAGGACTAAGATCTCTGTTTACTTGGGTCTCTGCCAACTTCCTTTGGGTCTCCCTGTGGAACCTAAGACCCCGACTCTCCTGGTGAAGCATCTCACACACGTTCTGTCCGGCGTTCAGCTGGGCTTGAGGTGAGGTTGTCCTGGCTTGTGGCGGAGGGTTTACTGAGATGTGCCTGGTTGTCACAACGAGCTAGCACTTAATGAGCACCTCTGTGTGGTTGGTGTGATACTGGGTGCATGGGGGAGACAGAGGGAAGTCCAGAGGTCCTTCCTGGAAGCCATGACTGCTCCCTGCACTGACATGTGTCATTGTAGACACACATCACCATTTTTCTGATTCTCCCAGTTTAGCTGTCGCCACTGACCTCCCTATAAAATGCCTCTGCCATTGGTTCTGTGTCCTGAAGATGTTGTGTGCCACTTTGCACAGACTCTGATACTGCAGAAAGGGTAAATTAAGACAGGATTGTTAATGAATGAAGACATGGAAGATTCAGTGGGAAGATATGTGTGTGGGGGTAATTTCTTGGCTCTGTGCTTAGAGCTAGAAACAACATGGGCCATATGGCTGGTACTGTGAGGGTTGGATGTGGGCAGGTGCATGTGGAGGCAGATGGGCCTGGGTGTGAATCTTTCACACATACACATGGCCTGCCTCCATGTGAACTGCTGGATTCCTTTCCTGCAGTGAAGGGTTAAGTACTATCAAATGTCGCAGGACTGCAGTTGAAGATCAAGGAGACATTGAAATGCTGATCACATGGCAGACACTCAGCCTGTGGTCGATAATGCTGGCTGGGGTAGCTTCTGGGGATGGTGGGCATTTCTTGGCCCCAATGATCCTTCTGAGCACAGCCAGGGAGGCAGTGCTGGACTCTGATCTGGGTACAGCTGGTTGGCGTGGACAGTGGATTAAAGGTCAGAGTTTCCCTGCAGCCCACGGGAAGGCAGAGTGACAAGTCAGTGGCAAATGAGGAAATGGAGTCTCGTGCCAGCTGGAGGGAGGGAGCAGCTGGGTTGGCCACAAAGGCCCATTGCAGTTCTGCAGCTGACAAGTGGAAGGACTGGCCTCTCAGGTCTGGGCCTTGTGGCCTGGGAGGCTGCTAGCTCTGAGCGATGAGTGGTGCCAAGCTGCCTGAAGCGGAGTTGCAGCTCAAACAGCAAGTGGTCCAGTTCTCAGTTCACTTGAGGCCACCTGGCACGTGGCGGCCCGGACCGCAGTTGGGGTGGGGCCTTGAGTCTGATTTTGATTGGATTCCTAGTTCTGCTCCTGCCTGACAGCACCTTCTCAGACAGGCTTTCCTGATCCCCTGAAGTAAATAATGTCCGTTTGGGTGTTAACATGCTGCTCTCATCCATACCTCCTAGATGTGTTACAATTGTATATTCATCTGTGCAAGTTATTTGGTTTTATGTCTTTTTTCTCACACTAAACGTAATCTCCCTGAGTTCACGATACGTTTGCCTTGCTCACAGGCTAGACACATAGCAGACATTTTATTTGTTGCGTCACAGTTGCCCCGATCAAATGGTGAGTCTCAGTGGTTTTCTTTTGGCTTTTTTGAAAAGGTCAGACAGAAAGGAAACACTCTTTTATTGAGCATATATATGACTTACCCCAGCCATCCCATTAGGAGAGCAGTGGTGTATCCATTACACAGTTGAACACCCTGGGGCTCTGAGGGGCCATGCACCTTGTCCAAAGTTATTTATCCAGGAGAAGGCAGAGCCAGAAGCTGAGAAGTGCCTCATGTTTTACACTGAACCAGGCCCCTTCGGCTGGAGACTGTTCCCTGCAGTCTTGGGAACGGTGTGTGACGTTGTGCTGCAGCGGGTGGTGGGCTGTGCTTGCCATACTGTGGTCACATAGGGGCAGGCAGAGGAGTCATTTCTGGTGGGGGTGCTGCTGAGGGTCTGCAGAGAGGCTCACAGTGGTGAGCAGAGAGGTCCTGGGACAGGAGGGGCTTCGCTGGGAAAGATAGAGGCAGCACATTCCCCGCTCCCCTGTGCCTTCCCAGGCCTTTCTCACCCCTCTTGCCCTCTTCCCCCGCCCTATCTGCGGTGGCAGCCGTGCCTCCCTTATCACATAGCCCATAGCTCTGTTTTTTCCCCTTTTATCAGTTACTCCCTAGAACAACCCAATTGTGCTGGTCCGGGTTATCTCCCGCTCTTCACAGTTGGGCCAGAGTGGGCTCAGGCACCAAAGGACACAGAATGTTTATGGCGATGAATGCGACTCCTTCTCTCTGTCAGCAAGGAAGTTGTATCCTGTGGACACAGATGTAGTGATAATCTCCATGTATGAAGCCATGGTCTCTACAGGGCACGTAGCACATGTTTTGCCATTCAAGCCTCAAAACAGAGCTATGAGATGCACACCATTATGGTGATCATTTGTTTCACTGTTTTCTTTTTTCTTGTTTTTTTGAGACTGAGTCTTGCTGTGTGGTCCAGGCTGGAGTGCAGTGGTGCCATCTCAGCTCACTGCAACCACCGTTTCCCAGGTTTAAGCAATTCTCGTGCCTCAGCCTCCCAAGTAGCTGGGATTACAGGTGCGCGCCACCACACTTGGCTAATTTTTGTATTTTTAGTAGAGACCAGGTTTCACCATGTTGACAAGGCTGGTCTCAAACTCCTGACCCCAAGCGATCTGCCTGCCTCGGCCTCCCACAGTGCTGGTAATTCAGTCGTGAGCCACTGCGCCCGGCTTGTTTTACTGTTGATGTAACTGGAGCACCCAGAGGGAAATCAAGTGTTCCCAGGGAATACCAGCAGCATTTGACAGCTCTGACTCCGAAGCCACTGTACAACATTGCCTGGAACTGAGAGATGCAATTTCTCCCTTCTTGGCCACCGGTGACTGTGACCTTGGGCAAACTACGTCTCCTTTTTGGGTCTTTAGTACATTTATTCATACGGAAACTGATTAGCTGGGACACGAGAGTGAAAGGGGTGCTGTATTACTTACTCTGGGACAACAGGTGTACACGAGGCTGTGGTTAGGCAAACCAGGCCTAGTGGCTCGCAGATTCATCAGTTAGATGGTGGGAGCTGGCGCTGAGGGAGCTGCTCGTGCATCGCGAGTCCAGGGTGGCTCTCCCAGTTTTCCCTGGACTTTTGCCTGAACAGTTTGCATTTCTGCTCATGGTGCAGGAGCTTGCTGGTCTGATGTCATGTCACAAGCCTGCTTCAACCTCTTAGAAGAGCACTGTTATCACTGATGGCTGCTAGAGCAGACCCAACCTGTACTTTTTTCACTTGATGGGCTCCTGGAATGATTGACAGCACATTCTCTAGCTGTAGAGGCTGCCCACGCTGACATCCTGGCCAGGTTCCTGGAATGGCCTGGCATCTTAAGCCTCTTCCCCCTCGGGGTGCCTGGAGCCCCTGACGGTCTACCCAGGGTGGCCGTAAGAGAAGTGCTGTGACGTGGTCATCTCCAGGGTTTCTTGGTCAACAGCCCGAGGTTGCTTAAGAGCTGATGTATATGAATACCTAGAATGTGCCCAGTTCGCCTTCTCATCTGGCGAGGGGGATGCGACTTCCCCTTTTACATATGAACAAACTAAGGTTCAGTGAGACCCAGAAAGCTGCCATGGTTGATGATGCTGAGACAGAGAAGCTAGTGTTTGCAGTCCCATGGTCAGCCTCAACACCCCCTACTCCTGTCCAGGCAGCGCTTCTCAAAGCGTGCCGATGAGTGCTGTGAGATGATGTTAGGTTACAGATAAGATTTAAAAAATTGTTTTGTATTTAACTCAAATTTGAAAAAGACAGGAATGGGTACATGAGACCTGTGATTTTGCAGATAATACTGCTTAGAATGTTGGTGTTTAAGAAAAGGTCAACTTTTCAAAAATACTCTTAACGATACATGGACCTAGTCCTCCCGAAGGGGACTAAACTGGGGTGCAGGTCGTTGTTTCTGTTTGTGGTGCTCTGTCTGTGTGGCTCTGGGCATGTCACTGGAGGCAGTGTCTAAGCCTGTGACTTCAGTAGTAGCTCTGTGTCCTCCGTCATGTCTGCTGTAGCTTCAGTTCACCATGATTCTCCCCAAATCCTGAAGATCCATGGTAAAGCGACTGCATGACTTGGTTGAAGCTAGACTGCAAACAGTAAGGATCCCAGAACGATAGCACTTTATAATCCTATAGTTTGGCTGAAATTGCCTGCAGTTACATCTCGGTGCTGCCTGTTACATTCATTGAGCACCCAAAGGGTTTCAGTCAATTCCTGCATTAATTATTCTCTGGGATTGAATGGGGAAATAGCAACTATTTCCACTATGCAATCAATTGGTGACTTATTTGTTTATTTTTTCCCTTCATTTCTTCTCAATAAATTGAAAATAAGATCAGGGTGAGGCGGCTCAAGCCTGTAATCCCAGCACTTTGGGAGGCGGACAGATCACCTGAGATCGGAGTTCAAGACCAGCCTGGCCAACATAGCGAAACTTTGTCTCTACTAAAAATACAAAAATTAGCTGGGCACAATGGCATGTGCCTGTAATCCCAGATACTCAGGAGGCTGAAGCAGGAGAATCATTTGAACCTGGGAGGCAGAGGTTGCAGTGAGCCCAGATTGTACCAGTACACTCCAGCCTGGGTGACAGAGTGAGACCCCATCTCTAAAATAAATACATAAATAAATAAATTGAAGATAATATTACCCCATGAGTTTACTGTGAGAATTAAATAAGAGAACATATTAAAAGGCTTAATTCAGTGCCAGGCATATAATATGTACTCCGGGAATATTAGTTTTTTTTAAATAAAATGTTAAAATGGGATTAGAAGATCAAAGCATATAGGCACAAAGATATAAAAAATATTGAAGATGAATGAGTTA